CTCCAAACTTGTAATAGAGTATTTTACATCAACGGTATTGGTATTTTTACTTAAGTAAGGCAAATCCATAACCAATGGTCAATTCAATCTGATCCCATAACACCATGACAATAATCATACTGCTTGTCTTCATTTAATTAATACAACCTGTGCTTTTCATGAACGGAAACCCCTGTCTCAGTGATATATTGTAGATGCTGTGCTAGATGACATTTGACCTCTCAATCCTGCCACCCAATCCCTGCACAGCCTCACAGGTGTTTTCAGTTACTGACGCGGTAATCTCGCGCTGTGACGATGTGGAAACACATGAGCACCTCATTGAAAGCAGGTGCATGAAAACTACAGGAGGTCGAGGATAGAGTGCATCAACTCAGTCTGAGCATGGCACACACCCACAACAGTCCTCCAGACGGTTTAATCAGGCCTAAGTAAGTGGAAACACCCTGTGCGGGGCGGCAACTGTGGCTGCTAAAGGTATGAAGACTTAAGAAACAAGGTGGGAGTGATCAGACGGTGACAGTTTTTTACACTGTTATGTTATGTTAATGGGTAAGCGGGGTGGGAATGCCATCATGTCACAAATATAGTAAAACAAGAATGTGGGTGCGTGTTCTGTGTTATCTCATATCTTATGTTGTCATGTTCACCTGTTTCAAATATAGTTGTTTGTAATATTATTTCTTATACTTTAATTCCCTTTGCCTTTTTGGTTTATTAAAATGCCATCATTTATACTTCATAAATTGGACTGGAAACCTGACTTTCAACAGTTAAATAAAAAAAAACGAATTAAAAATAGATAGAATCAGTGGTCTGAGTCGCCCCTGTTGTTCGTGTTGGGTACTACACCTCATTTTCATGTGGTTTTTTTGGGGGGGGGGTCAGGGTCTGTGGGATCACTTTAACGGCCATTTGGAGGATTAATAACCTTATATATCCAATGAAGCGAACAGCTTTCATCCATAAAGTTTTTTTTAAGTTTTGGCTTGCTTTCCTGAGAGAGACCGTTTGTAAAGCTAAAATCAATTCTCTTCCCTTCTGTTGAACTTATCAAGCAGATTACCACTTGTTCAATTCGCTACTTTTCATCCCTGCAAACTTAAAACATAATGGCAATATATCATAAAGGAGCTTAACAGTCTTTAGTGTTGAGGATGTTACAGCTCAGTCTCTGCATTAGAAACCATTGAGTAAAGGCTTTAGGAGAGTCTTCTTTGTGTTTCTTTCAGGCTTTTAATATGCAAGGACTGGACTGGAGACAAGGGGCACCAGAGGGCAGCAGCAATAAAAGAGCGGTGAGATAGTGGGCTTAAATTCCACATTAAGGTTCATGACCTTCTGCAAGGGGTGTGAAGGGAATCATTTCTCTGGACTGTTTCTGAATGTCACCTCCTCACTCTCATTTCAGGACACATCTAGATCCTCCCTCTGATATCATGTCTGTAAAACACAAGAGAAAGGATTCCTGACAAAAGAACACAAACAACCAAAAAAAAAACAATGTTTGTATGAGATGAAATAATAGGAACGGAGTTGTTAGAAACTATTGCAAGAGGACAATGATTCAACAGGCTGATTCTTTTAATGTGATAATCTGTCCTGAGTTGACCACAAGCCAGTCTCCAGTGTCAGTGAACAAGTCAGCGCGCATGCAAGTGGGTCTATCATTTAGAAAAGGCCAAAATCTCCCATTAGACTGACTTGAGAAAGGCTTTAATGAGCCCTCTGGGGCTGTCAAGGTGTAGGGAAAAATACCATATGATAATAAATTACACACGACTGGTGTCATGTGCAACCAGTGCCCATAGGTGCAGTAACACACAGCGAAGAGGCAAAGACACAGAGCAGCTTGTGCACGGCTTCCATGCTGATGAGGTGGAATGTGTTAAGTGAGGGAGGAGAGCTCAGCCTGGCAGGAAGACCAGAGAGAGGAGGAGGAGGGTGAGTGGGAGTGACAGGGAGATGAAACATGGTTACCTTCTGGACAAAGGCCAAGCATACAGGCCTCCTCCTGGCCGGTACTAAAGGTGGAACAGGAGGAGAAGAGCTTGAATTACTTTGTCAAAATGTCACTTCACCAACAACACGTATGTCACCTAAACTGAAACACAGCGTGGATACAACAGGTAAAAGGAGCAGAATAGTGTGTCCATCATTATTTTGATTGTAAAATTCTGAATTAACAAACTACCAGCTACCAAGGATCACATACTGCTTAAAAATCACTGCCACATTCTAACATTTGTGGCTGTTCCTCCTTTGTGGGAGGCACGACAAGCTAACAGACTGACATATCTTTAGCCTTAGAAATTTGTTTGGGGCTAATGTGCAATCCTGCAAAGACTACGCAAAGTTAGCATTCTCTGGAGTTAGCTACCTCCCCAAATGTCCCACAGTATTAATTTATTCTTTTTAGCCTGGTTTGGTCTTCACAATTGTGTTTGTCTGTTTAGCACTGGACAGGTTTACTAGAAGCTTTTTTATTCTGAAAATGTCGTCTGTTGTTGCTAAAGCAGAGCTAAAATGTGAGTGTTAGAGATTAATGGAGCTATTTGTAAGTTTTGCTATCGCTACAATGCCAACAATTAGCATTAGCTGATTAAGCTGTTTACTTTACGCAGTCTGGAAGAAACGTTACAAAGTTCAGCGCCAAACTTGTGGAAAGCAACCATTTTTGTTTTGCTTTCTATTCTACTTTCTTTTTTCTACTGAAGTTAGCACGCTAACAGCTAGCCGCCTGTCTCACCACTTTCCGATAGCATCACTGTAGCCTCCAATCTGCCTGAAGACGCAGGCTGCTCGGACTAATTATAACCTCTTGTATTATATAGACAACGATGGCCAAAGCTTTTATCACCATCCTGGAAAGAAACCATGTTCGATGACAGACAAAACCAAATAGTAAAATGTGCAGTAATACCAAGACAATTTTTTAAAAAGATGCTAACAAGCTAAGTGGAACTGCAAAGTTTGGTGATAATTTTCTACAGCTTCTTTCACAGTAAATATAATTTATTGATAAGTGGCTCTTTAAGGACCATAGGTTGTGAAAGGATACTACTCTTCATCATGGCCCAGCATCACCAGAGGAGTCTGGACCTTTATTCAAAAACTACAAGCTACAACAAAGGAGCGAATTAAGCCACCTGGTATAAACAACTGAACGGGCAGATTGTAGTGGAAGAATGTGCAGGTAAAGCTTCCACCCTATTTTTAAAACGGCAAGCTGGACTTTAATGAAGCACACATCATTTCCAGTATGTCGCAGGTGCGTTACTACCAGCCAAGCACTGTTCAAATGATTGTATCAGCAAGGTTACAGATAAGTAAAACTTTTTATTTCTGTTGAATGAACAAACTTCAAAGCCTCTTGTTGAAATGTCATCTGAGGGACATCAAGATCATTTTCTGCAGTATTACTGAAAGGATCGTCTTTGTTGCTTGAAGTGCCAGATATTTATGCAAATGTTCCCCACTTCATCCTGAAAAATGGTTGTGAATACCTCCTGAATCAAGATTTGTGCAAAACTCACAATCTATATTTTTTTCTGTAAGAGCTAATGTATCAAGACACTGAGTCAAAAGAATTAACTCTAATAAATTGGCAAATCAACGCTTCTTGGACTGAGACTTCTCTTTTCTATCTTTGTTTTTTGTTTTGTTTTTGTTTTTTTTTTGTTGGTCCTGAAGCCGTCACAGAAGATGAAGAAAAGACTCATTGTTGATGCAGAACATTTCCAGACTTCTACAAGCACAACTCAGCATCATAAAACAACAGAGAATGGAGATCCTTGTCGTGAAGAAAGAATTGTGCAAAGCAATAGTGGTCCGCCCTGATTATGGAATAAAATCACAAGGAATTATTCTCTAGGATCACAATTTATATCCACAACCAGTCTCCCAGCAACTTGGTTTAGAGCAGGGGACGAACTGACCGAGAACAAAATTACATGACTGATAGTAAATAAGAAACTTTTTTTTTTTTTCATTTACAGATTTTGTTTTATTTTCTTGACTCAGCTTTGATCTGAGGAGAAGAGGTCAAAGTATTTAAGATTTTGATTTTCTGTCGTCACATTCAAATGGAGATAAATTTTGGAGAGACAGTGAGGGGTGGACAGAAGTAGGCAAGCACTACGCCTCCAAGCGCTGGTTGGACTGGACCAAGAAACAATCTGTGTGCACTGAGACCTGGAGAGAGGACAGACTACAGATACACATCATTCACTACGACCTCAAGGACACTAAGAGATGGTGAAGTGAGGATGAAGCATGATGAAGGCAGACAACAACAAAATGCAAGAGGAAACAGAAAAAACAAGACAACACCTTCAAGAAGACATGTGTATCTATACACAAAAAAATAAAATGTAGGCTACTGAGCGTGTTCATGCTCCCCACAGGATGAACTCACGTCAAGTCGGTTCCTGTAGCGCCACCATCAGGGCGAAATGTCAAGCAAGAAAGACCTGTTCAAATTCAATTAAAAAACACTGAAACGTACAACTTAAATTAAACTTTAATAATAATAATAATATAAATAATAATAATAATAATAATAAATAATAATAATAAATTATAAGGAATTGCGGTTGAACAATAATTTATATTTGCTTTGACACACACACATCATTTCTTGCTAATAAAGGTCAATGGATTGAATTGGAGAGAGCGAGAGAGAGAGAGAGAGAGGAGAAGAGCGAGAGACAGAGGAGGGGAGGGGAGGGGAGGTACGGGGGAGAGGAGGGAGGTAGAGAGACCGCTGGCGGACAGCAGCAGAGGAAGGTTGGACGGGAACAATAGAGAGAAACGAAGCCAGCCCTGAAACACCAAACAAACCGAGAGGGCGACAGAAAGAAAGAAAGCTAGAGCAGGGATGGAGGAGAGGGAGGGAAACTGAGAACATGTAAGGATAAAGACGCCAGGATTTTCCGGAGCGGAGGGTTTTATTTCTTGTTTTTCTTTGTCGGTGGATTGTAATTGAACCGGATTCCGGTATGAACCCTGCAGAAGCGGCCGAGGAGGCGCCCAGCGACCCCGACACTGATGCCTTCTACAAAACAGGTAGGAAGCACCGGGCTGCAAATCACACAACAAGACAACAACAACAACAACAACAACAACAACACAAAATCTGAACCACAAAGCCATCACAAGTGAGGAGCGTGTGAACGGGCACAGGAGACCCAAGTGAACATGAGCAGAAACCTGCAGAAAAATCAGTGGAAATCTGGTGAGTGCCGTTCACAGAGGCGCTGCCAGATGGAGATCAGGAAAGGAGCGTTAAGACAGCTTGAAACAGCGTTAACGGCACTCTGCATGCAGCTATCTGAGGGTTTTTACATGCATTTACAGTGTAATTGTGTGTTGTGTGTGTTGTGTGTGTGTGTGTGTGTGTGTGTGTGTGTGTGTGTGTGTGTGTGTGTGTGTGTGTGTGTGTCTGTGTGAGCTCGTGTATGCTGATGGTGTCTTACAAAGGAAAGAGGAAGAAATCACGGCAGATCAGCAGATATCTGTTCAATAAGCTAAATGATGGTGTGTGTGTGTGTGTGTGTGTGGTTGTTTTAGGGCTTTAATAACCACAGTGTGTGTGTGTGTGTGTGTGTGTGTGTGTGTGGCGGGCGCCACAGTGTGTGTCTGAGTCTTACACTGATTCATTTAGAGAAAGAAAACACTGATCATTCTGGCTAAACTGATCCAACACGGTCAGAAGGTGAGAGAAAGTGTTTGTGTGCAGGATGTAATAATGGAGACTGTGTGTGTGTGTGTGTGTGTGTGTGTGTGTGTGTGTGTGTGTGTGTGTGTGTGTGTTGTGTGTCTGACACTTCTACCAGAGCCTAATGCTAAACTGGAGCTGCAACTGTCAATTCTTTTCATCATTGATCATCTATTAAGTCAGTTAAATCTTTCACTTTCATTTCCAAAGTGGCGTCTTGAAGCTGCTGCTGTTTGTCTGACCAGCAAACAGAACATCGCACTGACGGCAAGAAGCAGCAGCTGGAATCAGATGATATTTGGTATTTTTCACAGCTGCTGAAATGACCAGTCGATTCAGCAGCAAATAAATATAAGACATTGATCGTCGATCAGCCACTTAAATATGAGGATTTGCTGCTTTTCCTCTCATGTATCGAGGTAAACTGAATATCTGGTTACACAAAACAAGGGTTTGAAGACCAAAGTAATAACCGATTGATCAGCTGATCAATTTCTAATGAAATTGTAAGTTGCAGCTCTGGATTTTCACTTATCAAGAAACTGAATTAGAGTCATGATTCATTTTATTAAGTGATTAATCAGATGTAAGTATAAGCATTGTGGGGTAGAGCTGTGTTTCCAGTCAGCTGTCATGTGTGTGTTGTTTGATTGTGTTGGATACTGACATTGCTAATCAGGGGTCAATAATGGAAACGAGTCTGAACACAGTGACATAGTGTCTCAGGGTTACGTGACTTCAAGTGTGTGTGTGTGTGTGTGTGTGTCACAGTCTTAGTCTTACACTGATGCATTTAGAGAAGGAAAACACACTGATCGTGTGTGTGTGTGTGAGAGAGAGAGAGAAACAGAGAGAAATTGCAGCAATAATAGAATAAATTTTATCATTTTAGGAGAGTGGTGACATATTGGTGACATGTTATATAGACTATACACAGACACACGCACACACACACACACACACACACACACACACACACACACACAGAGTATGCAGTGCTGGAGGAGGACACACCCTGACTCTCTCTCTCTCTCTCTCTCTCTCTCTCTCTCTCTCTCTCTCTCTCTCTCTCTCCCCCTGTCAGTGTAATTCAGTTCAATAACTTTATTATGAACAATCCTGCCAAGGTAGTTTATTAAATCAAACACACACTAAACGCTCGCTGTGTGAGACGCCATGAGTGTGTGTGTGTGTGTGTGTGTGTGTGTTCTACAGTAACGGCGCTCCACGTGTGATCTTCTCGTCTTCATCTTTCCCATAATATTAGATGACTGTCAGCTGGACCGGATCCAGCAGATGGACATGGAAATCCTCTGGTTGACTCATCAGTTCAAACAATAAGACACTGTGCTAAAAAAGAAAAAGGAAAAAAAGTCTGGACAAAGGTGAAACAACTGTAAGAGTGGAGTCAAGTGTGAGTCCCACACTGAAGTTTCAATTCAGCTTGTCTAGTTCAGTCGGACGAGGGGAGAAATTTGAGTTACATCTCCATAGTAAAAGCCACTGAGGCTCATGGGTGCTGTAGTATTATTTGAGCAAACAGAGGAGAAACGTGATTCGTTGGAAAGACAAATCATAAAAAGAATATAATATGGTGAATTATTCAGCAGACGTTTGTCTTTCTGTTACTTATAGTGCTGTGAATAACACGTTTCATCATCAGTGAACGAAAATGTTCAGAACATCTCAGAACAAAGTGTCAGAAATGTCTTGTTTTCTTTGGCCAACAGTTTAAAATCCAAGATATAAAACACAAAAAGCAGAAAATTCTCCAAATTTTAAAGCAAAGGTTTTGTATTTTTGCTTAAAAAAAAAAAAAAATCCAGTAATTGACTAATTATTTCCTTTAAACAAACAGATTCAAAACTGCTGACAGGAAAACTACCTCCATTCCTTCAGTGTATTACATCTATGTGTGTGTTAATGAAATGATGACAGGTGACACGATGTAAGAAAACAGGCTGGAGAGGTTGAGCGGGAAACCGAATGTTAAACTTTTTAAAGGAGGGAACTTCATAACGTTTTCTTGTAGTTTGCAGTGGAGGCTCCAAAAGAACGTTTGGTCTGATAAAGAGAGAATCGCGTCTCCACAGGTAAACTCAGGTCTCTCACAGCGTCCTCTCCTTTGGAAATGGAAAAACTAGAACAGAGTTTTTGAGTTTGTCTCCACCTCACATCATGGGCTCAGCCTCAGTGTGCTGCTTTCATCAGCGCTGTTTGCTTTGTAGTCGTCCCTGAGGAGGAAGACTTTGTTTTAGAGAATGATCCACATGCATAAGAGCAAGATGTAGTGAAAATAAAAGCTGTACGTCCACATTAAAATGCACCACAGTGTCTGAAGAGCAGACAGAGGTCTCTCTCTCACTCAGCCGAGCGGCTCTTTCACTTCAGTGCGGAGGAAATTAAAGATGGCTCCGTACCGCGCCTTCATTTCTAAAAAAACAAATTTCACACTATTGAGCATCTGCCAATACTGATACCAATCTGTTAATGAGCCAATCGTAAATCATTCTGCATGTTTCTGACATGATCTCATAAACCTTACTCCTTTTGGTCTTCCATGGCTTTACCATCTCCTCCTGTGCTGCCACTGAGGATTCGTACTCGTGCTGCTCTCCTGAACTCTGTCTGACTCGGTGATGAGAGAGGACACACGAGTGAGCCTCGTGCTGATTTCTCTCCTTGGTGCTTCACACCTGTGCAGCACAACTCTGTCGTCTCATCAGTCAATCAATCATCACTTGCATGATGATGCTTCAGCACACACTCTGCAATCAGCTGCTGTGCTCTTTACGACGTCAGATGAATATGGTTTTGACGTGACAAAGGAAGAAGGACAAAGTGTAAAAATAACGTAAACAAATAAAACTCGTATGTAGGATTTGAAGCTGGGAACAAAGTTAAAGGTCAATAGAAGGTATATTTATGGTTTTAAGAACCAAAAAACATCTCAGTGTAGTTTTACATCTCCTCTCTGAGCCAATCAGAAAAGAGGAGGCTTTGAGCCCCTCTCTTCTGATTGGCTCACTGACGTGTTGTTGTTGTGGTTTTCTGAGGGATCCAATAGAAATAAAGCAGATTTCAGGTAAACACTCAGAGAAACCAAATCCTGCAAGGTTTGGATGGTGGGTCGTGGTGGGCGGGGCTTGGGGCATGGCTGAGAGCGGTGACTGCTTTGTTGTGACATCACAAAGTTACAGGAAGTCCTAACGGCTGGTTTTAAGGCTCAGTTTCTGAATACAGGCTGTGTGCATTTCTCTGTGAACTGAGGCTTTGATACTTTCACAGTATTAATATAGAAGCTAGACCTGATCTATAATCAAACTACACATGGACAGAGACCTTTAGACTATATGGGACCTTTAAAGATTTTTGAGACCAATTTACACAGATTTATTTAGTCTTGACAGTCAGAAAAGCACAGTGGATGAAAGTTAATCTGTGAAATGGATTACAAGACATTTACTAATAGAGGCATGTTGATTCTGCAGATACATAAATACTCGTTCCTGTACCAAAATAAAAACAGACATCGCTCAAAAACACTTTACTTTGCGAATTTTGTGCAGAAAAGACGAACAAATTGAGGAAAAAAAGTTACATTTGGACGAGATGATGGAGGGAGAGACCAGGGCAACATGGACTGTGAACTCTGCTGAGAGGGCTGGAGGAGAGAGAACTTCATAAGTGTGAGATTATTAAATCATTTCACGCTGACAGCTCACCATTTGATCTTTTTTTATTACTGATTCCTGTGCTCACACACATGCAATATGGACAGAGCCGGTTCCAGTCCTAAAAGTAAAACTAAGTAAGCAACTAAATCAGGAAACAGGGTTAGAGTCAGGTTTAGATTCCTTCAGCTCCACAAACTGTACGATTTTATTTATTGACTGTTTACACTTGCTGAACAGTCAGCGCAGCCTGACTTTATCAGTCGTGACACCCAAATCAGAACTACAGGCTATTTTGAATTTCCATAATTTATACATAAGCTTAAAAAGCTCCACTCCAATTTATTTTACTTGTGTTTCTTTTATTTCTTTTATTTGTACTTTAAGTTTCCTTTCACCTTTAGAAAGTAAAGTTTATCTTGAATTTTGTATCTATAGGAAATGGTGGAAGTTGTGAGTGAAAATAGAAACATTAAATGCAAATTTGACACCCAGAATCCTCCAAATAAAAAAATTAAAAAATCAACAGCAAAGAAATGAACAGAGTCATGAATGTATACAAGTACTCATCATCTGCCAAGCTCAAGTCTTAAAACACACACACACACACTCACTCACAGGAAAGTGCAGGCGGCGCGGCTGCTCAATGTTATGCTAATCAGCCGTTTATAAAT